CGCTGAATGCATTGGAAGATGCCGCCAGTGCAGGTGCCTGGCAGATGCTGCCGATTCAGTTGCTGATGCTGAATTAGTGCCGCCACTACTGGGACGGTACCTAGGCTGGTCATCTCGGCATTATATTTTTTTTTTTGCATATCTGGTCTGGTTAACTTTGGAACATCTTTTGACAACTCCCGCTTCTCAGTATAAAGGACGGCCCGCCAAACTGCACGTGACCCACCATCATAATCCTGGCTGCAATTCGTCACCAGCTCAAACGCGGCGTGCAGGACCGGCGGACGCGAAGAAGTGAAAGGAGTGCACCCCGGCGCTCGCTGTCGGCGGGCGACACCACCTGCAGCGATGACGCTAGTCTCCGGACACTCCCGAGGTGGCAATGCACCCGTGTGCCAAACGGACACGAGCTGTGCGTAGCCGTTCCCCAGATGGATGGCGTCGCACGCATGGATGGACAAACAGACAGACGGGAAGGACGAAATTATTAGTACAGAGTAGAGAATTATAAGTGTTGGTAGAAGCATACATAACTATACGGTGGGCCTGAAGGCTATACGTACCGGCAGTGGTCGAGTCTAAATCAAACAAATGTGGCCCGTAAATGAGTGACAAAATTAATGCGACTTATTATTAATGCGACGTCGCAAAATGCATGCTTATGGCATAATTTATGTATCGTTATGTATCAAATATCGATCACTTATCACTAAACCTTTTCGCTGAACTAATTCTCAAGTGAGCAGGGGCATTCTCTCTTAACCTGCGCTCTTGACCAGGACCAAGCTCTCTTCCTAGTAAGCCAGGAGACAGGACGTTGCGCAGACCTGATTTAACATCAACAAGACAAAATGACAAGTCGCTGAAAGGTGAAAGGAGCTGGACTACCTCATTAGTTAATCCTTGCCTGTGCAGGGGAAGGGGGGGGGGGGGCGGGCGAACCCTTCGTTGGCACAGCGGGCAGGTTGGTAGAACCCCAGTGTCACGATGAGTTGGCAAATTTTAAGCCTGTTGGTTTAATCCACTTTTAACTAACTCCACCGTCTTCTGCGATGTTCTACAAATGCGATAATATGTGCCAATTTCCCTTTAATACAGAGGTCACGGGTCAGGTCAAGACATTCCAAGGACCGCTGTATTAGCCAGATGCTCGTGTTTACCAATATTGCAAAACACATGCGTATGGTATCGTAGGAGATAACTGTACGCCAATTTTAAACAGGATCTCCACAAGCCTCCCTCAGACTGTAAAACGTCATGACAGATTATGCTAGATTAGCGACTTGCAATGACCTTAACCAGGTCAAAAAAGGCCGGTAACCAGTTTCAGATTGCTTATCCAGCCGCACGTTACCTTCAGCCCGCCAGGACATCTCGTTTTCACCCGGTCACAAAAGGATGGCATACAGGGGATTTCCTTCCAAGCCCGTCGGAGGTTGCTCCACTAGTAAGGCCATGACTTCCCGGCCTGATCGGAACACTTTTTGACAAAAGTTGTGGAAAGGATGCCCCAAAAGTGCCTGAAAGCTTCATGGCAATCTATTCGACAGTTATGGAATGTCTCCGAAGACAAGACTTTAGAAGGAGTTGCATCGCCGCCGCCCCCTGGCCTCGTTAGGGTTCACGTTAAATATATGGTTACGCCCTGCTCATGTATCCGCCAATATTGGTGCCTTCACGTCCATGATTATTGTGGCGCATTTACGAATTTGTAGAAGTAAGAAAAGTTGCAGGCGACACACTTCAAATCATTCAAAAACGTTGAGAGAGTTGAAGAATACTGTCATCCGTGATGTGAAAGAACATAAAGTTTGATCCTGATTTGACGCAACAAAAACATGCTGGATACCGAAAACGGCTTAAATGTGTAATAAAATTGTCAACTACACTAAATGCTACGAAGCAATACTACGTGTATTCTACCTGTCCGCGGAGGTAGACAAAAAAGTTCTGGGCTGGCAGAACGAAAATGGATCACCACCACCGTGCTGGTTTGTACGCCTGGTGGGCGCATTTTGGAGCACGACACACACGACTTTGTTCCCCTACTCGGCACGAGTCAAATCGATTCTGACTCAATACACTTGGAGCCGACTCACGATTCAAATCAAACCATCCTTGAAGACGATGATTGGCGCTTAAGGGCGCGCGGAAGGCCAAGGCCATTTTGCGACCATGACAAAATCTACTATTCAGCGGGCCGTGTTTTCCACGGAAAATCGTTGCCCTGTGTCAAGTACATACGGATCATCACCCAGCGTTTCACTCGATGACGATGATTGGTATTATGGAGCACGCCGGCTACTTAGGCCATTTTGCGCTGTCAGGGTTTTGTCCCAACCTGTTCAAACGGTGATGAAAACTATCTGCTGATTTGGCTGAATTGCCCTAGCTTATCCAAACTGACCTTGAATCAAACAAAGTAGTCCGAACCTGAAATCAAATCAACAAGATTCGAACCCAAATGAACGGTACAAATACGGGAACATCTAACACCACCAGAATGGCTGAAACGGTTAATATCCAAATCTAAGCCGTGTAATTGTTGAAAGCCTTGTAGACCGTCAGCAATGAAAAAAATTAAGAGCCTTGCAGACCATTGCAACTGCCTGAAACTTTCACACAACTGGAAATAATCTCAATAGAAACAGACTAAGCAAGCCATCACCCGCAATCATCTCCACTTGCAAAAATTTTCGTCAGCATTTGAATCGCAAAGCATCCATCCATGAAAGGCGAATGAATTTATTATCTTAATTTAGGCACAGTACCTGTAGTGTACGTCTTTTGCAGGCCTTGGCTGTTTTTTTTCTCAAGCGCATTGCAAACCAACAGGATTGTATGCACGTAGCCTTGTTTCTTATTGGCATTTGCGACCGTATGAGGACTGACGACTCAAGACTGATTCACCTCCCACAAATAAGAGGAAAGAAGGCAATTCTGATAACGAATCGTGTACAAAATTGCATCTTTGGTTTCGAATCAAGCCTGATCCACATAAACTTGGTGTGCTTTTTGATCAAATGTGAGCATGACCCGACGCACATACAAGCCTTGTTGAGCGTCACGTTTCATTACACGTTGCACAGGCCTTCCAAGGCAATCCCGCTCCCACAGATTTACAGGCTGTTGAAACAGGCCCGCAGTGATGCAGGGCGTCAGACACGGCCTCCACCGTCCCGAGGTCAGACCTGACCATCGTGAGGTCACGTGGCGGTCGCTCGCACTGACCGCCATGCCCCAGACGTGCCAGGTCGGCCAGCGCCCTCCGGTGCAGCGGGTGGCACCGGCGCGAGCCCGGCAGGGGCGGCGCCGACGGCGGCCACGCGCCGTTCCGATACACGGTGCAGCACGTGCCGACAGGCTGCCTTGTTACCGGCAAGTTACGCGGCCGTTTACATATCAACGAGCGCCTGGATGTGCCGATACTAAGTGATCTGGGCCGACGCTCTGCCACCTCTCGACGTCTTTATTTCGTCACTGGCCGCTGCCCAGGGCGGCGATACAAGGGCAGCCGGTGCGGTAGGGGCAGAGCCGGGCCGGACGGCAGGCGCCGGGAAGGCGAGACGAGAACGCGCCTACGGCGCAGACGTGAGCGGATCGCGGTCGGCCGCCGAGACAGCCCGCGCCCGCCGCTGCCGGCCCGGCCCCGATCCCGGCCGCCGGCCCACCGCGCCCGGACAGCCCACTCGTCACCGGAGAAAGCGCCGTCAGATCGCGACCGAGGACAATTAACGACTCGCGTCTGCAGCGGTCTGCCCACTGACGTGGCGCGGCCGGCGAGCCCGGAGCCGCCGGTCAGCGTTCGCCCGCGGCCGCACGGGCGTGGAGCAGTCGCCAGCCGTCGTCCACCACCAAACGCGCCGGCGCTGTCTGGGTCGCGCTGCAGCGGCCAGCCGTCGCTCACGAGCCCTGGCCGGACGCTGCCGGGCGGGGCGATCGACGCCCGCTGCAGCGGCGCTCAGCCGCCGGCGGGGCCCGGCCCGGCAGTGACCCGAGCAGCAGCAGCCGGCCCATTGTTCCAATTAGGTAACGGGTCGGCCTGACAGCTCGGTCGGGAGTGGCAGTGATAAGCGGAGCCCGAGGCGCCACGGGCCCGGCCCGACCCGTGCCAACTTGGCCCGGCAGCCGGGCAACTGCGCCCGGCCGACCTCGGCTCGGCCCGCAACCGATGACGGGTTCGATTGCCCAGTGACGACACCGGAGCGGTTCACTATCGTCCGAGCCAGCCGCCACTTTGATCACCGACGAAAACAATGGGCGCTTATGAGGCGCGGTCATCCTCTGAGCTGCAAGGCTCGTAAGCCAGCGTTCAGCGCTGGCGGTGTGCCCAGCCGTGCCCGTCTGATACAGCCCGGCCACCGCCACCCCCGCCCTGCCGCGCAGCGCGCCCGGCGTCGCGCCGGCGGTGACCTCCCCTCTTTGGCGGGGAACGAGTCCGCACGGCGGACGATCGCGCAACACGCCTTCGGACGCGGGTGGCGGCCCCGAACCGACGGCCATCCTACCGACCGGACCTGTAACAGCGCCGATCCGGTCCGGCCCCGCCGCCACGGCCATTCTCCGGCCCCCAAGTTCAAGAGCGTTATTTACCGCTTCAGCCGGACTGGAGCAGGGTGCCGGGCGGGGGGGGGAGGGGGGGCGGGAGGCGGCGGGGACGGGTGCAGGGGCGGTGCGGGGGCGGTGCGGGGGCGGGAGCAGGGAGGCACTGCATATGACAGGTGCCCGAATCCGCCACACGGCGGTGTCGCCACCAGGGGCGGCGGCGGTGTAGCAGGCAGGACCGCTGCACTCTTGAAATCCAGGCATGAACTCCGCGACCAGCTGAGACTTGATGATAACAGACCAGCTCCGCCACAGGCCAAACCCGTCTAGGGTGGTGGCAAGGAGAATTCCGGTCCATTCATACAAACTGCGCAGTTTCACGCTTCGTGCACCAATATCATACGCCCCACGGGGATCATACACCCAAAAGTACTACGTGAGCTGACACCTCTCACCTTGACTTTTGATCAGTATTCCTCTCGGGGACGGCGGCATTCGGGGCACATCCGCCGAGAAGCCTGCCGGGCGAACAGAGCCATCGTCACGATCTGGAGCTGACTCGCGTCATATTCCCCCCGCGCGCCGCGCCTCCCCCTCCTGGTCCTAGCCGCACGCCACACATGTAGATGACGGCCGGCCTGGCGGCGGTCATCTGCATCGCACCGTCCTTCATCCACGGTCACTGGCGCTGTCCCCGGCCTCCGCGTCCGGACAGGGGCGACATACAGGAGCGCCGGACTCGGCCGTGCCCCCCCCCCCCCCCTCCCGTCTTCCCGTCTGACAGGCCAGCGGCACCCTCCCGGGTTGCGGCATCGAGGCAGAGCTTGCGAGACGCCGCCGGACAGCACGGGGAGCGCGCCGCGGCCCCCGCCCGGCCGGCGTGCGATGCTCTGACGCTGGAGGCACGAGCGTGCGCCGGTTGTGCCTGCCATTCGCAGCTGGCGCACGAGACGGCTCCGAGCGCCGGCCACGCGCCCGCCGTTTCCGTCCCCACGTCGCAACCCGGTCCCCCAGTTCGCCACGATAAGCTCTCCTGACTTCCCACAACGGCGGCGCCGTTCACACACACAACCCATTACGTCGGCCGGCCCATCACGACGCCTTTCGCCCCGCTCTGGCCGAGGGCCCGCCGGCCGCAGCAGTGACCGCGTCCGGCCGGCGCCCCGGGGCGGCCCGCGGCGCCGGCCCCGTCCGCGCACTCACCGCCGGGCGCGGGCGCCCCCTGCAGGGCGGACGTCGACTCCAGGTGGGCCTTCTGCCTGAACACGATGCTCTGCAGCTGGTTCAGACATTCTGGAAGGGGCGGCCGGACGTCAGGTAATCGGGACAGGCAGGGACCGGCGGCACCGCTGACGCGGCCGCCAGCTGCCGACACTCGCCGTGGATCGTGACGGGGTCATGCGGAACACCGCACGCGGTCGCACCAACACACAGACAAGTAAATGTGAGGTCATGCAAATCACAGCCTGGACAGACGGATTCGTGGCACGGCTACCTGACTTGATGCGTTGCCGATCGGAGCGATGTGACGCATGCACACAGCAGAGATGCGAGAGCAGCTCCGTACACATCTCTTCTGCGGGAAGTCACAGCTCATGGTTGCAACATGCTGTGCTGATGACCGCGAGGTCATGGGCCCAAGATGTGCCGTGACTTGTTTTGCAGCACCACCGGCGCGAATTAAAAAACTATCGGAGGGAATATCTTCCGCAAGCATTTCGCCAACACATAATATCGTACCCAACACATCTGAGTCTAAGGAAATCATTGCCAAATTTCTTACCCTGTCTGATTGTAGCCCGCTTCACATACGACCACCTTCATTGCTCCATAATCACAGCTGGCATCTAAATCATCATAACCGGGCACCCTCATTACAGGCACTGGGTCTGGGAGTAAACTCAGCAACAAGCTCTGCTTAGCTGTGTGGGCTACTTGGAGGTGCAGCTCAAGACCCAGCGTGAAACTGAGCCGGTAATCTCCCTCCGACCTGTGTGGCTGATAACCCTTACCAACATTGCATGAGTTCTAGTAGCTCTTGGGATTAGTTTTGGCAGACTGCCATTAACTGACTGGCTATAGCTGCTTTGGGCCCTCTATATGGTTTGCCATACCTACTGCATAACACTAATCCTGCCAGGTCTACACGACTCTTCTTTATGTTTTCTGGTGTTGACATAGAGGGAAGGACACCCTGTTTACCTGTGCTTGGGCAACGGTTCAGAAACAACATTAAAAAGGCAACAGGCCTGAAAACGCAACAAACAATGAATACATTAGTTCAACGTCAGAGCATCACCGAACGATAGAGATGAAAGGGGTCTGCCTTCATGTCTTACTTTCACAGGTTTTTAGCGGCCTCAATATCCTTTTGCCACAAGTCCTACACAAACGACGGGATTAGTCGCTCTTAGTTTAAAAATACATCTTGCGGTCTTAATACGCCTGTCCCACAAGTCCAGCAGCATGTTTCAGCAACACATCGCTCATTCTGCACTGGAACACCATGAAACCACACGTCGCATAAAATCGGCACGCAGTGCAGATTGTCCAGAGAAGTGTGACAATCACCCAGCAAACGTAGCGCAGTTAAGCCTGTGGACGCTGTTCGCACAGCGCTATGTCTGGGGAGCGAGCGGTGCCCGGCGGCTCCGTGCAGACAGCACCGAACGAGGCCGGCGCGGGGCCGGCGCGGGGGCGCGAGAGCCCCCGGCGGCACACGCCACAGCTCGCGCTGAGTCGCGTCACACTAGGGGCGCTCCCAGCTGTGCGGCAGGCAACCGGGAGACGCCAGCCCCTGAGCGAAGCAAGACACCCTTGCCGCTTGACGGGCCAAGGCAGGTGGAGGTGGAGGCGGAGGATAGCGGCCGGCGGCGGCGGCGGCGGCGGCGGCGGCGGCGGCGGCGGCGGCGGCGGCGGCGGCGGCGGCGGCGGCGGCGGCGGCGGCGGCGGCGGGTCGGGCCGCACCACACGGCGTTCCCGGCCCCGGCCGAGCTGCCGGAAGGCCGCCGCCGCGTGACGGCCTCGCCGCGCCGGCGGAGATGCAGTAGCCTTCCGCGAATGCCCGCCGCCCGGCCGCCAGAGTCGCCACTGCCCGACCGCCGACCGCGTAATTTGGCGGCGATTTCGCCTGCGCACATTGCGGCACCGCCCAGCGCGGTATCAACATTCCCCAAGGCCGGCCGAAACTACTTTCCGCAAGGCGAACGCACGCCGTTTTGCGCCGTCCTTCGCTTTGAGAATCTTTGTCCCAGTTGTCACACGAGAGACACGCGACATCTAAGCGAAGCCATGACACAATCCCACGTTGCAACAGAAGACAATGAAACCCAGTGCACTTACACCAGGCCAGTAGAAAAACACAAGCATGCAGAGCGACGTGCTTCTAAGCTGGGCCCATGCGCGCTTATTGCTATTCATGACTGGGCCAACGGTTATCGGCGTGAAACAATAATCGCGCTCATTTACGGCCAGCATCATTAATGCTGTGCTTCAAGGTGTCACTTTCGGAGACAAATTGGTAATTTCAGACTTGATGTGGCATTCCAAGATTTGATCGCACAATAAACACGGCATGCTGAAGGTCCGAGTAATGCCGCTGCCTTGGGCGAAGGCCTTCAACACAGCTAGATGAGGGAATCTAAGCTTGCTATTTAACAGACCACATGTGGTTTATTAACATTCCGGCATTTAGTGACCGACTGCCGACAAGATATGCCGCAAATAAAATAAATAATGTGGTATTTGTGTCGACAGGTTCCAGATTCTCTACCACCAGATACACAGCCACAAAATCACAAGACAACGCTTTCGAATTCCCCGTGTCCATCAAGGTGCGATCATACAGACATACAACAGTTAGTAATTCATCAAATGTGCCGTTAATGTTGACCACTACCTTAGCTAATGCCTGGAAGGGCACTATTGTTTCTCTCAAAGCCTCTCTGGGGTCCTAGGCACTCAGTCCGCGTTTTCCAGCATCACAGCTCTGACCGCTTTGCTGAACATGCAGCAGCTGACGTGCCTGCAGTACTGAGGGACTGACCGAGCCCTCCCCCTCCTCTCACTCCCCCTGACCCGGCTCAGGCCACTCAGCGGGGCCACAATCGTGAACCATCTGTCGGCACACCGTACATATATATATATATATATATATATATATATATATATATATATATATATATATATAATTTGCACAAGCATCATAATCTTGCGACAAAGACGGCCCGCCACCTTGTCGCAAGATTTGTGTTTTCATATTTGTCTATCACACACGACGTCACATCCAACCAATCACCGACCGCAGCGGCGATTGGCTGCCAGGCCGTAGGCCGTTGGTGTTGTCATTCCTGATGAAGCGTCGCTTCATTTTCCACAACCAATGACAAATTGCGCCCGCACTAGGGTATTTGGCCATGATACGGTTATGGCTGTCACCATCTCTTTGAATCCTACGGCCTGGACATTTCAGCCCAAAGCTCCACACTAAGCCGAACTATTCCCTTCGGCAGTACGGGACAAGGGTCGGTGCGGATAAGCTTGCCACTAGAGCTACCACTTTTAACCCCACAGGCAAGCAACATGCGGAGTTTAAAATCTCGCATGGCTTTTGGAGGACATTTCGGACAAAGTCACGGGTAGTGGCGGGCCTTTAAAAAATGAATGGTTCCAAACTGTGTATTTGCAACACAAATGCACATTCAATCATCCATAAGCTAAGCGCAATAACTACTCATGAAAATAGAGCTTTCGCAAAATATGTGACAGCAAAGAAGTAGCGTACTAAACATTTGGATGTTTCAGCTTATATTTCAAAAATATACCTGCCATGGCAATCTAATAGCTTCATCAGCAGAACAACATGGCTTAAGCACTGCACCACAACTGCTTGCAATTAAACTATACAATTTCTTTTTTTAAAGATTTGATCCGAACCCTTTGAATGGATGGATTTCCGGGATCAGAGCTCACGCTAAGCAGTGCTTGTTGTGTGAGCCCTGACCCCTACCATCCGATCGCGCAATTCCAGGCAACGGCAGAATTTGGTGGCGAAAGCTTAACGTGCCGCAATGCTCGGCACGGTCCGTCCTGCCCTCTGACATCAACCGACCTTTAGCGCGACCGCTGCCACCGGCCGCAGGCCATACCTGTCAAGGGCAAATAGCGAGCGCCCTAAAGCGACTCGAACCCACCCCGCCACGGGCGGGTGCATCGGAAGGCAGGCGCTCTAACCAACTGAGCCACCGGGACGGACAAGAAAATGAAAAATGCAACAAAACAACAACAAACAACAACAACAAAATGCATTCTGAAAGGTTGAAATCCCCACAGCTCACAAAAGAGCAAACGCCATTCTGAACTTATCGAGAAGGAATGGCAGGTAAGGCTAAATACCTGCCATAAAAATACAATACACACCACGAGAACACAATGCTTGGCAAAGCCGATAGGCTGAAGTGCTCGGATCATGCTAAAACAACACACTCCACCCAACCGGTCTTCCTTAGATAGAATGAAAGAAGAACCTTGCATTGTGGTTAAAACGCATGCCAATGTCAGCCAAATCAAAAACACCTTATCATCAAAACCTGTCTTCGGTAACTCAGACCTTATCTACCGACTATGTAAACCAGATAGAACGATAATGTCTGCTGAATGCATGCCAAGTTTTGTGGTTTCGTCCACGGTGCGTTTAGCCATCAGGCCAATGGCGCACCATGCCGCAGCATCGAAGGACGATTGTGGCGCACACATCTCGGCCTTGGGGCGGCGTCAGCACAGCCAAGAGCACGGCCAAGGCTGGTCCAAGTTGTCAGCAGTTTACGAAACTTGGACACATCGATATGAGGCATCGATGTGGTGATGACTTAAGTTTGAGGGCGCGCCGACGTCGGAGGTTATTTTGCGCCCAGAGACATCGATGTGGTTTTTCTCTTGGATCGTTGAAGTGAAACAACTGCTCGGAAACAAATTGACATGTAAAATGGCAGTATTTTGTTCACCTAAGGTACGTTTGAGCTGGTAAAGAAGTACATTTGGACATAGTTGACACGTAAAATAGTCAGTTAAAATAGTAAAATACACATGAAATAGATAATAGTCGAACGCACGCTAGATGTAATCTGATCCAGCGTTATGATATATATTATATATACATGAGTTCATGTGACATAAACTGCTTTGGCCACATGCCTTGTGACAGCGTTTTGCCCCTTTTGAAAATTTCAAGTTTCCTTGCAACGAGCTGAACTTTTAGGCCTTAAAGTAAATGAAATGTGAAATCTTCAACA